GTCAATATATATATAACAAAACTTTTTACAATTAGTTAGCCACGTAGGTACTTAGTGGGAGAAATCATCTGCCTAGTCTCTCTTGACTCTTCTGTTGTATTATGGGAATTTTTTGAGGGGTAAAGTAATAGTAATTAAAACTCTTATTTGTTTGATATTTAACAAGTTTAAATTAAGAGATTTATTGTAAGTAAATGATAGGTATTAATAAGTGTGATTTTTTTTTCTTTTTACATAAATTATAGTCAAGTTTATGTCGGTGATTTTTTCAAAATAAAATGGGTTAAGTTTTGGTACTTTTTTAAAAGAGAAAATTACAGTCATCACCTTATATTTTACACCTGTCACACTTTGCCACCATTTAATGTTGACAATCAACTCCTTAAATTTCTGGTCAAATTCCAATTGAGTCCAATAGCTAACCCACATTAAAGAAGTAAACAGAACCCCCCTTCCCCCCCTCCCCCCCAATACATGACTGTTAAGTAGGGCTAGGCATAACGTTATCCAACCTGCGAAAACCGCCTGTGCCTATTTAGGCGGTTTTGCAAAATTGTTAGTGTTAGATGTGCTTTAAGATTTTCCTATTTTGCTGATTGCGGGTGGGTTATGGGTTTTACCCACACCCGTACTCACCCGCCCGCATCTATATACATTTTTTTTTTTTTTAAATCTGGACCATCAGATTTTGTTGTAAGTTTGTAAGTGTGTAACCCTAATATGCTCTTCTCTCACTGACTTTAATTTGATTATCAAACCTGTAGGCTCTTACATTATAATAATATCACACACTGTTTTGTTTAAAATACTTATCACTCGCAAATCTAATTATGTGATTTTTTTTTCTATGTTAGTTTTTATTTAATTTTCATTCTAATTTTTTTGGTAATCCAACTTTAATGGGGGATAGTGTTAAATCTCTTGCAATCAAAAAAAATTTAAAAATGGGAAAAAAACAAGCCAAAAAATAAATTTTTAATGGAAAAAACTCAATTTGCAAACTGCCCCCACATCCACGAACCCTATCTGCACAAACCGCAACTCAAATTACAGGCGGTTATGGGTTCAATTTTTTCCAAACCGAACCATCAAAAATCGATCCGTGAACACCTACGTAAATTCACAACCTTTTTCCATCCAAACTATACATTTACTACCCCTTGCACTTTGGAAAGCTGTACTAACATATCACCCATGCTATGCACGGGATTAGATTTTAAAAAAAAAATTATGGTTATGTCAAATATATTTTTAAATTGTTAGCATAAAATATATGTAATTTTGAAAGAAAATATTGACATTTCATAATTGAAGTAATAAAAATAAAAATTTATTACATTTGTTCGAAATTCATTGAATAAATAAAATATATTATAACTAAAATCTAAATTATTGTGGGTCATCCATTAGCATTCTTGCATCGTCAACATAATAGTTAATATTATAATTGATGAACAACAAATATATTATGTATTTATAAAATGATATAAAGTAAAAATATTATCCTTACATATTATATATATATATTACCTTTTAAAAGGCATAAATATTTTCAGACCAATCTATATTTAAGATAAAAGTGAATGCATTTATTTTTTAACAGAAAAATAAAAACACACATATAATCTCGTGCATGACATGAGTGATATAGTAGTTAATATTTATATTGTAAAAGAGAAAGTTAAATAATCTATTACTTGATTGAATAAGTTTTTCAAAACGACAATTTAATTGTAGACAAACAAAATCAACCAAAAGGATAAATCAAATTTGTATCGCAATATAAATCATTTATATCTATATTATAGCTTTATAAGATAAATTGGGTGCATTGGCAACTATTGACACAATTAGTGAAATTCATGACACATTAGTATTGTAAAATATTTATAATATTAAGAATGCCACTTAAAATACACAAAGGAAAAAAAAAAAAAAAAAAACCCCCCACACTATGTTTTTTTTTTCTAGATCAAAAAAAATAAAATTATTTGCTTCCTTAAATAGAAATATCATTAGTAAACATTGCCTTAATAACCATTTTTTAAAAGAAACATTACGAAATAAATTTGATAGACAAAATAAATGAAAGGAAAAGCAGTCAATGAAGTCAATTGAATAAAGAAATTTTTTTTATTTGGTACCTTAAATAGAAATACCATTGGTAAATATTGCCTTAATAATCATCTTTTCCAAGAAGCATTACTGAAATAAACTTGTTGGACAAAATACAATATAATTATCATCAATAGTGGGTACTTTATTATGTGAACCTAATGAATATATATTTTTTTTTCTCATCATGTGATTGAAATAGAGTGTAAAAAAACACAATCAATTAAAAAATAAAATCACTGTGTGATCAAAATGGAGCATAAAAAAACACAATCACATTTTTGCTCATAATTATTGAAAATCCTAAGTGATTCGTGATTAGATCAAGATTAAAATAATTTTTTTTTCTCATCATGTGATTGAAATAGAGTGTAAAAAAACACAATCAATTAAAAAATAAAATCACTGTGTGATCAAAATGGAGCATAAAAAAACACAATCACATTTTTGCTCATAATTATTGAAAATCCTAAGTGATTCGTGATTAGATCAAGATTAAAATATTCCAAATCCTAAAAATCCAAAACACACAATCTAAATCAATAAGCACTTACGAAAGTGATTTAGATTGTTTGTTTTTCAGAATAAATAATAAATCGACACAAACGATTTTTACGTGGAAAAAAGCACAATTGGACACCTCCAACTGTGATTAAAAAACCACGGGCGAAACACCACTAATCAATCCACTACTGAAAAAGAAAGATTACAAAGATAACATACAAATTACCCAACTCAGTCAATTTGTCTTCGAATCTTCTGTAACTCTTTCTCCACGACTTCGTCTTGGAACTGATCAATCCTGAAGTTGATTCCACAACCTCACTTACGTATAGAATCAAACACCTTTTGAAACTATACGCTTGAATCTTCGGAATCCACCGAAGAGAACTCTCTCTTGAATTTAAAGTAACCAACTCCTTGATGTATGTATTTTAGATCATAGGTGAAGAACTCTTCTCAAAACATCAAGGAAAACTCACAAAAACCTCTCCACAAGAAAACCTCAGAAAATCTCAAAGTAGATCTAAAAAAGTAATCCTAAAGTTTGGAGAAACCTACTACTTATAGAATTCCGGATTCTGAAGCTCGCTCGAGCGAAGCATATCTCGCTCGAGCGAGAAGCTTATCTCGCGTGACTTCCATAAGTACCTTCGCTCGAGCCATAAAGTCTTCGCTCGAGCGAGGAACAAACTCTTTCAGGTTTGTATGCAGACGCAGTTCTTCGCTCGAGCCTCCAATGCTTTGCTCGAGCGCACAATTACCTCTTTCAGGTTTGCAGCCAGACGCAATCCTTCGCTCGAGCGAGGACTTCTTCGCTCGAGCGAGCAACACAAAACAGCACAGAAATTACAACTCGATTACACAAGTTTGTTCGTGGACTTGACAAGACTTAGGGACCTAACAATCTCCCCCTTTGTCAATACCCGGACAAAACTTCCTAACACAATTTCCTAAACAGACGAACTAGCTAAAACGATTACAACTCAAAGCAAACGAACTAGCTAAAATGATTACAACTCAAGGCAAACCAACTATGCAACCGATCTCAAAACAAACTGGAACTAACATCTTGAAACAATAAACCAAACTTGAGGAAAACCTGTAATGAAATCTAACTCCATCAAACCTGAAATGTAACATAACAAACCAAAACATATAGCCCAATATCCAGATCAGTAATATCCACATCATATAAACGTCTCCAAATGCTCATCTGCAAAAAACAAATCATGAGTACAACTCAAAACTACTCCCCCTTTTTGTCCGGGAGTGACCCAAAAACAACAACAGGCAGATTCAGCATAAAAAAAAAAACACTATCCAAAGTAAGAACAAAAACTGTCCAAGAGAAGCATATGCCAAAAGCTAAGAAGGAGAAGATGGTGGCTGCTGCAACTGAAGAAGAGAAAGAATCTGAGCAAGCATGGCACTCTACTCATCAAGGCGGCCATCAAAAGCATCAAGACGTGTAGCCAATAGATCAAGGCGACGTGTAACAGACTGCTCAAAGTGCTGTAGCTGGCCACGAAATGAGCGAGGACGTAGCTCAGGAAGATCAGGGGCACCGGCATTGGCGGCCTCAAGCTCCTCCTCCTCGGCAAGGGGATCATCATTACCTGCACCAGAACTCCCAACCCCCGACACACTCCCCCTCACATGAGCCTGACTCTGAGAGACTGTCAATTTAGTAATGGGTTTGATAGGGTAAGCAAACTCATCATCATCAAAAAAAAAGAACATCAAGGGAAGTGAGAGAACGAGTAAGCAAACACCCATAAGGAAGCCCCAAAGATTTTCTGCCCTCAGAGACCCCAATCATTTTTGAAACAATCATCTCCGGAAGGTCAATAGGTAGTCGGTGATGAATACAATACAGAACATAACCTTGGTCCTGAGTAATATGCAAGGAATGGGTGGTGACATAAAGATTCGCACACACGATGATATTCAAGAGACGGAACCGAGGAAGCAACTCATTTTGCTGAAGGAGAGCCCCGGTGATCCAAGTCCGGTCAACACCACATAACTCAGAAGCTACACAATCAAAATCAACACCTGACCGGGTAAGAAACGGAAAATGACAATTACGAACTTCAGGAAGACCAAGTAAAACCCGAAACACATCCCCAGTGATAACAAGTGACTTCTTCCTAACCCAAGTCTCAAAGGATGTCGGAAGTTCTTTGCGAATGGAATGGATATTGCAATAGAATTCCCGGAAATGCTAGCTTGTGAAATTGACCGATACTAGCATATCATGGGTGATGTTGAGTCTCTTAACCATCTACCATCTGTTTTCTCTCTATTGTTTCATACATTGATGTTTCGATTCTATAATGGCTATAATATCTTGTTTTCTCTGTGGCTGATTGTTTGTCTCTTTAGCACTGCTAATCATTTCATTTCTTTTATGCTAATGTTACGAGTTTCACTACTTTTCTAACCCCTGTTGGACTAATTTGTTTTGACTGGCTCTTTGTGTTTTGTTTTGGGGGTTTTCTGGTGTGGTTTATTGGATGTTGCTTGTCTTTCTGGGTTCTTGTCTATGTTGCTCTGTTTGGGTGGTATTAGTCATGGCCGAGTCATCCAAGCGCCGTAAAGCTACGGTTTCTCGTTCTTCCTTCAACTCTGAAAAGTTCCCATCTAAAGAAAAATCTAAGTTGTTTAGGGAGTCTTTTGCATCTCGTAAAGTACATTTAGAGCGCAATATCCTCCCAAATGCCTTTGAGGTTATTCCCATTCGGTCTTTATTTGATACGTTAGGCGGAGATCAAGTGTTGCATTTCTCCGGGCCACAAAATTTGAGTCTCATCCGGGAATTCTATTGCAATATCCATTCCATTCGAAAAGAACTTCCGGCCTCCTTTGAGACTTGGGTTAGGAAGAAGTCACTTGTTATCACTGGGGATGTGTTTCGGATTTTACTTGGTCTTCCTGAGGTTCACAATTGTCATTTTCCGTTTCTTACCCGGTCAGGTGTTGATTTCAATTGTGTTGCGACTGAGTTATGTGGTGTTGACCGGACTTGGATCACTGGGGATCTCCTTCAGCAAAATGAGTTGCTTCCTCGGTTCCGTCTCTTGAATATCATCGTGTGTGCGAATCTTTATGTCACCACCCATTCCTCGCATATTACTCAGGACCAAGGTTATGTTCTGTATTGTATTCATCACCGACTACCTATTGACCTTCCGGAAATGATTGTTTCAAAAATGATTGGGGTTTCTGAGGGCAGAAAATCTTTGGGGCTTCCTTATGGGTGTTTGCTTACTCGTTTTCTCACTGCCCTTGATGTTCTTTCTTTTGATGATGATGAGTTTGCTTACCCTATCAAACCCATTACTAAATTGACAGTCTCTCAGAGTCAGGCTCATGTGAGGGGGAGTGTGTCGGGGGTTGGGAGTTCTGGTGCAGGTAATGATGATCCCCTTGCCGAGGAGGAGGAGTTTGAGGCCGCCAATGCCGGTGCCCCTGATCTTCCTGAGCTACGTCCTCGCTCATTTCGTGGCCAGCTACAGCACTTTGAGCAGTCTGTTACACGTCGCCTTGATCTTTTGGCTACACGTCTTGATGCTTTTGATGGCCGCCTTGATGAGCAGAGTGCCATGCTTGCTCAGATTCTTTCTCTTCTTCAGTTGCAGCAGCCACCATATTCTCCTTCTTAGCTTTTGGCATATGCTTCTCTCGGACAGTTTTTGTTCTTACTTTGGATAGTGTGTTTTTTATGCTGTA